TCAGTGAAAGCCATTTTTTATTCGTTGATTAGCAATTAGATCAAAGTTATTTTGCTCAATGCTGCTAGTGTAATCGAGGTGTTTGTGTTTATTGTTGCTGATGCGTTTGCTTTTTTTTTCAAACCTTTCATAAAAAGCGAAACAACTTCACATTAACAGATGATCGAGAGCCAAGGTGCAATCATATCACTGATTTCAGAGGCAAACGCTAGCCGCGTTCAATTAAAACTTGACGATACATAGATTCATTCAATGGACTACTGATTAATTGACTTTAAAAGCCTATAAAATCATTGTTATTAGATAAAATTCTCTCTTTTCAGATGAGCAACGATCTGGATTTTATTTATGGATTTCGGCCGACGATGAATGGTGTGAACGTGATTTTCCAGGATACTATGAGCCAAACATTGGACCTGTGAGTTTTCACACTAAATCATTTAGCGTCTTTGATGAACACCTCAACTGACATGAGCCTTACGAGTTGTTGGCAGTAATGCTTAGCGTGTGCGAATACTATTGCTCTAGCTTAGTTGTTTTAAAGCTTTCGAATACACTTACTAAGGTGAAGAATTTTACGCTGTTACCTCTGAACGAATAGTGAGGTGTGAAGAAATGTTTACTTAGGTGTTAGTTTGCATAGTAGCGATCATATGTATGTGTACGATTGGCATGTGGTGATCGCTTTTTGAACATCCAAAACTCTGACTATGGACAACAATAAAAGCATTCAGCTTCTAGAATATGGAAACAATGCTTGCCTTTGAATTGTGTGCAACAATTTCGTTTCGGTCTTCGACACACCATTGAGAAGATTGATAAATTTGGAGTAGAATTCATAATGAGTGTTCGTAATGTTACAAGTTGAAATGATTTTTGAGAACAACTCATTTCAGCACTCCTAAAAGAGTATCAATGAAACAATCGCATTATATGAGACCAGTTGAGTTCATTCGCTAGACTGTTCTTATCGAAACATCGAAGCAGCTAAATGAATAGCGAAAAATTTTCTCTGAGAAGTTGCTAATTCAATACGCTGATCGAAAAACGTTCAGCTGATGCAGTTGTCCAAACCAGTTTGTGTAAATTCAACATAGATTTCTGAAGATTCATGGAATCGCGAACATCAATCAACTCTCCGAATAGATCATATTTAAACGTATTGTGAGCGTAAAGCTCTACTCACAGTTAAATGAATCTATTCGAAATGTGATTTATAGTAATTGTGGAACTGAAAGAGTATTGTTGAAATTTTTAACTTCACAGAGGAACTTCTGATTTATAATCAGCAAATTGAAAAACTGACTTCTATCTGTTGTTGTGCACACCTGATCAGTGTAGTATGATGAATGCAGTCCTGTGATCGGAATAGTTGCATTCCTCAAATCATCCCAATCAAACACATACATACATATGTTCCGTGCTAATCAAGTTCACCTTTTTATGATTCTATTCTCTGATGAGGCAAATGAACACAGCCACTGAAAATCGCAAAATCGAATGTGTTCTTACCGTATTATGAGCGTAAATTCATGATGATGCTGAGCTGCTAATTCATTACCAAATTTCTTTACAAATAAATGCTTATGTTTTCTTGTTATAAATATACTGAGATCATTAGCTGGTAATTTAATATAAATCGCTGTGGTTTAATATCAAAATACTAAAACAAACGATGAACAATGCTCGAATTTTCACGATATTCCTGAATATTCAATAGCTTTTGCAGCATGCGACTGTTTCGTTTAGTCACCTTTGTAGAAACTTTATGATCAACCGAAAACGGGTGCTTGTTATGATAGGAATGCAGTAATGAATACTCGAAGACAAAGCGTATTTGCGTTTTATTACTTGCAAATGCATATGTTTTCTTATTATGCATATATTGAGTTCATTAGCTTCGAGGGTCTGCGTGCGATAATTCAGTGAAGCGGCACAAACGTGTTAAATACTTTGACAAAAAATGTTTTCCCGACTCACGAAAAAAAACAAACTCCAAAGCAATTTTAAAATGTTCTCCATATGTTCAAAAATCCCTTTGAATTTGTTTGTTTTAACAATGCACTTTCGAAAAATAATTATGAGCGTATTTGAGAATAATGAGGAGGAAGATATTGGAAACAATTTTTCCGGCTGTTACAGAATCGTTCAAATATTATTACGGGGCTAAGCACAATTAATTTATCAACTCAATGGACCACTCAGAATATTTCTTTGCTCGCAATACTTTTCAGCGATGAATTTATGATAGTAGTGTGATTGTTTGCTTATTTTGAAAGAGATTTTTGTGCCAAAAAAAGCAGACATAACGATGTTCGAGGAAAAGCAATTGTTTTGATAAAAAAACAATCATATTGTATTGTTTTTGTCAACAATAACGACCTGTGAAGGTTTCGGGCAAATTTGACTGCTTCAACATTGCAATTTCGAAAGATAGCACTAGCAGTGGTTTTTGCAAAAGACTATTAATCTGATGCTGATGTTAAATAGATGCTCTTTTTGTATTAGACAGCAATATCGTATTGCTTTTATGAGCAACAATAACTTAGACGAATTAATTCGTTGACGCAATCATTGGCACACTGTTTCAATTTATTTTATTTGGTCGCAGTTCACAAGAGATTCTTATAAAAGCAGAGAGAAATGAAGAAGGTAGTTCGTGGTAGTACCAAGTTCAGCATGAATGACTGATGTTCAACTGAGAGTTGTCGAGTTGTTATCAGATCCACTGAGTATTTCATAATTTTGTAAGAGCTTGGCCATACCGACACGAAGACAGGAAGGATGCTAGCAGTGGAAATCATCAATTAGGATGCCTCACTGAGAGCGTATGCATCGCTGTCATTATAAATGGATTGTTCATTTTTTGGCCTCGTTTGCGTTCGCAGCTAACGATATGAGCCATCAGAATCACTGATCAGCATAAATTTCGTTTGATTGATTGAGCCAGCAGCGATCGATCGAGATCAAGAATGAAATGATTCATTAAGGATTAATTTCAGGATGAACGTTCACTGTTGATCCCACCGTTCACAACAGATTCACAGCCGCTCGAAATTCAACATGACTGCACTTACAATATTGTTATGCATTCCAGACCATATCCCTACGGTGATTCTGAATATTCACCAACGTTCACGTATACGGTACCAAACTGTGTCGATGGATACTGTAGTTGCAGAAGTTGGTTTTCATTCATTTTGAAGCGAATTTCAGCGGGACTTTCAGTTTCGTTTGTTCAAACTTACAAGAAATCAGAACTGAATAAATGTCAGAGCAACGGAAAATAATTTTGGAAACGTTCAACTGAGAATGTCTCGACTGTGAAAATCTCGTTTCGCCGTGCGTCCAGTTTACCACTCGGGCGTCAAGAAGGACCCTATGCTTTCCGAGGAGAACCCCATAAAGTTGTATAGCGGTTTCTATCATCCATATTGATATTAGAGTAGTTCCCGGCAATCACAGAAACGCAGACTCTATCAGAGTCAAAGACGAATCTCATCATCAGTCAGTTAAGGTCAGAACAAAGTTCCAAATGCACGTAATGTAGTGGCAATTCCGTTTCTGGACAAGGATATTATGCGGGTGATGCTTAATTGGACATATCCGGTTGTCGATGGTCATACGCATCAGTTTAGATTTGATCTTAGTGAAAGGTGAGTGCTTAGATAAGTGATCTTCAACTTTAATTATTCTGCGCTCAAAACAACTTCGCTTGATTTCGCGAAGCTGCAATCAAATGTATGATGCTCTAAACTTCAAAATTAGGCTAATCCTCATGGATGCCAATAAAAACAATACTGCTGATCAACAACATTTATCTGGTCAAAACTAATTTGTCTGCATTTGAACTGCTGAATAATGGCTGCGCATTAACAGCTACTGTAACAGCAGCTTGTGCAGATTGGCAAGCTTTTGCTCATGGCTACTAGCTGATCTCATTTTAAGATTTCATCACAATCAGATTCGTTTCAAAGATTCAGACGCGTTCAAGTATCGCATCGTTGAGATGCCACCGCATGTGGTGAACGCAAGAAAGGTTCGTCGTTGAATTCTATTCGATCAGAAAACTCGGATTTTGATTTCATTGATTGTGATTATGGTGAGATTGCAAATCCGCATTCCACAAGCTCAATAGATAATGCAGAACACATTGGACGGATCAGATCTGTAGTAACATCTTTTGAGCAGAAGACCGTGGAACTTCATACTCACGATAAAACAATATACGAATTTCAAGTGCGTAAACAACATGCAGCAGGCTTGCATGCTTCAAATCCGAACTGAGAATGAAAGAAAGCTTTCAGAATGAAACCACATTTTCAACGGTTCTTCCAATGAATCTGAAGGAGAATGAAGAGTATCGAGTGACAATATTTGTGCTCAATGATCAACTCTGCAATAGTGACGAAGTCACAGTGCCGTTCTTCACCGTTCCCAATGAGCAATTCACCGACAAAGGAGCGTTCAAATGGAACAACGCATCTACGAGCGTCAACACTGAGTTGTCTCCATCAAAAGAGCGCTCAGAAAACAGCTCGAATAAAACTTCCGTCCACAGCGAGTCTGTTCCTCGGAATTCGTTGAATGTGACTGAGCCTGATGAAGACGTCATGCCAAATGTTGATATTGATGGCAAAGATGGTAATCAAATGAGCGAAGGCTCGAGCTTCTCGACGTTACGTCCGACAGTCGTGTCGTTGAGAACACCCTTGTTAATAATACTGGTTGGCAGCGCTACGTTAAGCGCTCTGCTGATGACCTGTTGTGTGATCGCATTGGCGGTCAGAAATTGCTATAAGCGAAGCACAAAATCGGAGATTGAGAAGTCTTCGATTATACCGTGGGCAATGGCACATTCCAGGTGAACGCAATTCATTAGTCACATTTTCTGTTTCTCCAATTCTCGTCCTATTCAGTCAGATTTTTGAAATGCCTTTAAAACTCCTTCATCCTACACTGACTATAAATCATGATGTTGATTTGTGTTAAACGCTTGGGATTTCGAGAGCGGAGTGAAATAAGCAGCGAGTTGTAGAATAATTCGATTTGCTAACCGTTGAATAAATTCAGTCATTCAATGTTAGAAACAAATATCCTCTATCGGCGACCAACGGGGCCGTCAGTTTACATCGATTACGAGATTCCTTCCAGTCGCATTCAAGTTGGAGGTGTGATCGGGCAAGGTCAGCCAAATTCAATGTTTGGTTTTGCGTTTCGATGTGTTAATTTGTTTACGAGTTATCGAATTAGCAATTTAAAATACTGAATGCAGTTTTGAAGTTACTCGCGTATGTGTGAAATTCAAATTGTGAAGAATGCTTGATCTGGTTGAAAGGATCTTGGATTCGGCAGTTGTTGATATAAGCTGGTGTGAAAGCCAGTCAAATTTGCGCCAAACAGCATTCATTGAAATGAATCGCGCATTAATTAAAGGTGCATTCGGCACTGTCTGCATGGGTACGGCTCATGGAGTTGAGGGCTATGCGGGCGCCACAACGGTTGCCGTCAAACAACTGAAAACGAATGCCGAAGAGTCGGAAAGAATCGAGTTCATTGCAGAGATGAATATCATGAAACAGGTTTAATCTCTAATCATGAATCAATCAGAGAATTTCCATCTAAAAGATACTATCTCAGTGAAAATTGACTCAATTTTTCATGGAAATTCGATAAAAATTGAATATTTCGCCACCATTTGAAGATGAATTCAGTGAAAGCAGATAGATGTTTTGTTTCATGTCTGAGACTGCTCAAATAACCTGATGAATGTTATTTTGAGGTTGGTCGACATCCGAATATTGTAGCCATGTATGGATGTTGTACGGAACCTAATCATCAGTGTATGGTCATGGAATATGTTCCCTTCGGTGATCTTAAGCATTACCTTCAGAATCTCCGTAAACAGGTAATCTTGACAACGCATACAGCAAAATACGCTATCATCCAGTGCGTTCCCTGAAGTGCGCTTCAAAATCTATCCAAAAAAGGAAAAAATGAACGATTACAATTCTACTAGAGCAATGGTGCGAATAAGAGATAAAGCAGAAGTGAAATCGAAAAGCTCACGGAATTGGGTAGAACAGTGGCTTTCGTAGGGATGAAATTACTTATTTTGAGTAATTTGGAGGTGTCAGGGGGTAATGGACGGAGATTAGCATTTTCTGCGGTTGTTATGTTGTTGACGTACAGTTATTTTCTGAGTATGATTAGCTCGTAAGGGCCTAACAGGGTTTCCATTCGTTTTAACAGGGTTTTCATTCTTTTCCTCGCTGTTACAATCGCTCTCATAGCTTTTATCACCAAAATTGTTCTCTTTT